AATAACTGTATATTATATTCTACTGATTTTCTCCCCAGCATCACATTCTTGTACTTCTCTCCCTCCCTCCTAATATATTAATGCTGTGTGTCGTACTGGACACTCAGGGCTTGAGATTAGTGAGTGAATGAATAAGTGAATGAATGAATGAATATATGGAGATTAATGAAATTAATAAAGTGAGGTTAAGAAACATAGAGATACTAATGAATAGATTAAGAAATTATTATAGATTAAAAATAGAAGTCAGTGATCACATTCACTGATCAATCATGTAAAATGCAAAATATCTTCTCTGTGAAAGAATTTTGCAAAAGTAAAATACCATGCAATGTAAGAATAATTTTTGTCTTGCCTGTATTTTTTTTATTGCTAAACTGGTCATATATATCTCCTGCATATAGAATGAGGAATGTGCCGGCAGATAATGACTTTCTTCTCTGGCATGAAATATCAAACTTTGCTATGCATTCCTTTGGGGTAGGTTTGTATGTCTTGCAGAATGCTGCTTTGTTATGAACTCTTCCCTAAGCTAATTTTAATTTCCAAAGTGATACGGAAGTGTATAGCTTCGCCTTATTGTTTTCCTTCAATTCTTGGATTGTGGATTTGATCCTCAACTGAAAATGATTCAAGGCATTGAGCTCAAAATCTGCCAATTGTGTACGTTTTTAGCAATGTCTTTTTTTTCCTCCACAGGCCTTCAGGGTGGTCAGATGTTCTTCAATGCTGTTAAAGAAGGAGACACTGTAATATTTGCAAGTGAGGATGAACAGGATAGAATATTGTGGGTTCAGGCCATGTATAGGGCCACAGGTCAATCGTATAAACCCGTTCCTGCAATTCAAGCCCAGAAGCTGAATCCTAAAGGAGGAACTCTCCATGCAGATGCTCAGCTTTGTAAGTTTTGTTGAAAAATAATTTGATTATCAATTAATAACCTTAATAAGATATAAAATTGCCTGAGTCAAATTTGTTCAGTATTATAGTTTACATCATTAACTGATTCCTAATTGAATAAGAATAGTTCATTTTAGTAGTCATAGAATCAGTTATCTAATTTTTCAGACAAACCTGGAATAAATGGTGCCTATGATTTCCAGTCATGAATTTGCCAAGCACTGGGATGTCTCTGGGAATCTCAAGAGCATAAAAGAAAATGGATTTTAACTTACTGTAATTTTAACTTACGTGTTCTATTGAAATGGGAAAAGTATTGCAAAATCAAACTGGCATTAAGATTCCGGAATACCAAAATGATGGACCATAACTTTCTGGAGTTGTTCCTAACAAACCAAAAGGATAATAGGCCTATTTTCTGTTGTAGGTTGGAAAAAAAAAGTCATCAAGGCAACTTTCTTTTTCTGGATACCTTTATATTCATGCAATTTTCTCAATGCTAATGTAAATCATTAAGAACTAAATTTTTCATTTTAATTTACAAGTAATTAATAACAAATTACGTAATAACGATAGAAACATTTTCAAATGTAGCTTTAATAATCATTAAACCAAAGGTTTTAACTTGTTATACTCCTTTTTAAAACTTCCCTGGTTCCTTCTGTAATATAATAAATCAGTCTGTCTTTAACTGTAAGCTCAAATTGGAACTTTTCATTCAACACCCTTCTACTCCCAAGATTATTCTCCAGGGAGCAGCATTTTGACATTCATTATTTTCTTCTCTCATTATTTTCTTCTCTCTTCTCATACTTTTCATGCAGCAAATAACTATTTTCTGTTCTTTTTTAGACACCCGATAGTATTACATTTAGGCATCTTAAACAAAGGTACTTTAGGCCAAAATAAAGATGGAATATGAGCTCAACTCCAGATTCCTGCATGCTTTAGGCTTCAAAGTGTACACCTTTAAACGTATCCCGATGCATCTTCAAGTGATGATGGCACTTCATACGTAGTATATGCATCTCACAATTGTATACTTCCATATCTGCCTTCCTGGCCCCTGCACAATTCTGGTCATACATTTTACTTCTACAAATGTTGTAAATCCCACAATACATTGATATTATTATTATGCCTTAAACAGTCAATTACCTTTTAAAGAAATTTAAATAATAAGAGAAAATGTTGTATACTCAACTGTGTAGTTACTATTCCTAGCACTCTGTGTTCTCTTATAGAGATATTTCACTTCTGAAAGGACTTCCTTTGACTTTTCTATAGTGCTTTCAGCTTTTTTCTATATGAAAATGTCATTATTTTACCTTCACTTGGAAAGATGCTTTTCTTCAGTACTTTAAAGACTTTGCTCCACTCTCTGCGAACTTGCTTTTTTTTCTCCTGATGAGAAATGTGCTATCATTTTTGTTTCTTCCTCTGTATATAATGTGGTTTTTTTCTCAAGCTGCTTTAAAGATTTTCTCTTCATCACTGGTTTTGAGCAATTTGATTATAATGTGCCTTGGTGTAGTTTTTTTTTTTTTTTTTTTTTTGCGGTAAGCTGGCCTCTGCCGTTGCGGAGCACAGGCTCCGGACGCGCAGGCTCAGCGGCCATGGCTCACGGGCCCAGCTGCTCCGCGACATGTGGGATCTTCCCGGACCGGGGCGCGAACCCGCGTCCCCTGCATTAGCAGGCGGACTCTCAACCACCGCGCCACCAGGGAAGCCCAACCTTGGTGTGGTTTTGGTTAATTGTCCCCAGTTCTGGACCAAGACGATTCTTAAAGACCCCAACTGATGACCAGTGAAATTCGAGGTTTTATTTTCTGGCTGTTGGGAACAAGCACTGCTCCAGGCTCTGTGTGAATCTGGGGCATTGTCCCGTCTAATCCTTTAGGGTAGTTCTTTCCCCATCCTCATATTGTTGCCTCCCTTGCGTGAGGTGGTCAGTATTCATTTGAATACGAAATGGGGCAGCGAGAGGCAACAGTAGTCTTTCCTGCAAACTCCAGCAGCCTTGGCCTTCCTGAACTGTCAGCTCCATCTTTTCAACTCAGGGAGACAACTGGCTCTCCCTGGGTTTCTCCATCCCTGAGCCACAGCTTTGAAAGTTTCTCCTGGCGTTAACCTGGGGCAACTGAAAGGCTCATCTCATTTGTTTCCCCGCCTCTTAGGAATCACTCTCCTATGTTGCACAATGTCCAAAATTTTGAGAACGTTTTAAAAAATATTTGTTACATGAATTTTTAGTTGCAGGTAGGAAGTTTAATCTGTTTTTAATGACACTGTCTTAATCAGAAGCAGAGTGATTGTTTTCTCTGTTAGAGCAGTGTTTCTCAATCTCAGCAAGACCATCATTTTGGGCCAGATAATTCTTTGTTTCAGGGGTTGCGGGGAGGGCTGTCCTGTGTATTATAGGATGTTTAGCATCATCCCTGTCTCCTACCCACTAGCTGCCTGTAGCACCTGATCGCACTGCCCCACCTCCCCACCCCAGGTCTAACGACCAAAAATATCTCTAGACATTGTCAAATGTTCCAGGGGACAGGGAAAAAGGTGGGGAAGGTTTACCCCCATTTGAGAACTGCCGAATTACGGTGACTTGAAAATTATTTTTGTGAAAATGTTTCCCTCATTCACTTGTGTTCCAGTATTTTTTCTTTACATCTTGTGTGCAAGGAATACCCAAGGAGTGTGCTTGTATCATAAAGGATATCAACCATCTTACACACAATGGCAAGAAAAGTGGACGGGAACCACTAGTCTAGAACACTGAAATCATGACTACATGATACAGAATTACTGAGTAAAGGATCTAATAATTAGTTTATTCAGATAACCATATAATTTCTTTCCAGCAAAACCTTTCTATTAGATAACAATGTGTTGTCAAGGCAGTGTTGATCAGGCTAAGTGGAACTGAATTTTCTAGCCCCTTGATGAACTTGTTTTAAAAAAGGTAAATTTGTTCTAAAAAGCCAAACTGTTCCAGTCACGTTAAGAGCTTTCTTGTATTCCAGGCTCTTAGTAAAGTTTTCTGTCAGAGCAGACCCTGCTGTTTTACCTTTCTTTAAAAAAGAAAAAAAGAAAGAAAGAAAGAAAAATGTGTTTCTACCTCATCCAAATGAGCTATTGACCATGACCTTCATCAGAGATGCGACTTGACTGCTCCAGAGAGTAGTTTTCCCTTTAGTATTTTTCTCCCTTCCTTGACTTCTGTATTATTTCTTTTTCTCTTTCTTGATCATCTCTTGGAAGAACAACTTTTAGAGTCATTAGTGGAAACTGAGAAAATAACATGAAATTAAAATGACTCGAAATAAATGTTTCTGAGCATTTATTTAAATGTTTAAATATGTTTTTCATTTCTTTGCTGACCTATATAGCTGGTAAGGGTAAGTATTTTTATGATACGGTTTTGTTTCACTGTATTAAATTTTTTGTAATGATAGGATTTTTTTTAACATCTTTCTTAGAGTATAACTGCTTTACAATGTTGTGTTAGTTTCTGCTGTATAACAAAGTGAATCAGCTATATGTATACATACATCCCCATATCCCTTCCCTCTTGTGTCTCCCTCCCACCCTCCCTATCCCACTCCTCTAGGTGGTCACAAAGCACCGAGCTGATCTCCCTGTTCTATGCGGCTGCTTCCCACTAGCTATCTATTTTATGTTTGGTAGTGTACATACGTCAGTGCTACTCTCTCACTTCCTCCCAATTTACCCTTCCCCCTCCCTGTGTCCTCAAGTCCATTCTCTATGTCTCTGTTTTTTATTCCTGTCCTGCCCCTAGGTTCATCAGAACCTTTTTTCCTTAGATTCCATATATATGTGCTAGCATACAGCATTTGTTTTTCTCTTTCTGACTTACTTCACTTTGTATGACAGACTCTAGGTCCATTCACCTCACTACTCAATTTCGTTGCTTCTTATGGCTGAGTAATTTTCCATTGTATATATGTGCCACATCTTCTTTATCCACTCATCTGTCGATGGACACTTAGGTTGCTGCCATGTCCTGGCTATTGTAAATAGAGCTGCAGTGAACACTGTGGTACATGACTCTTTTTGAATGATGGTTTTCTCGGGGTATATGCCCAGTAGTGGGATTGCTGGGTCGTATGGTAGTTCTACTTTTAGTTTTTCAGGAACCTCCATACTGTTCTCCATAGTGGCTGTATCAATTTACATTCCCATCAACAGTGCAAGAGGGTTCCCTTTTCTCCACACCCTCTCCAGCATTTATTGTTTCTAGATTTTTTGATGATGGCCATTCTGACTGGTGTGAGGTGATACCTCATTGTAGTTTTGCTTTGCATTTCTCTAATGATTAGTGATGTTGAGCATCCTTTCATGTGTTTGTTGGCAATCCGTATATCTTCTTTGGAGAAATGTCTCTTTAGGTCTTCTGTCCATTTTTGGATTGGGTTGTTTGTTTTTTTGATATTGAGCTGCATGAGCTGCTTGTATGTTTGGGAGATTAATCCTTTGTCAGTTGCTTCATTTGCAAATATTTTCTCCCATTCTGAGGGTTGTCTTTTCGTCTTGTTTATGGTTTCCTTTGCTGTGCAAAAGCTTTTAAGTTTTATGAGGTCCCATTTGTTTATTTTTGTTTTGATTTCCATTTCTCTAGGAGGTGGGTTAAAAAGGATCTTGCTATGATTTATGTCATAGAGTGTTCTGCCTATGTTTTCCTCTAAGAGTTTCATACTTTCTGACCTTATGTTTAGGTCTTTAATCCGTTTTGAGTTTATTTTTGTATATGGTGTTAAGGAGTGTTCTAATTTCATTCTTTTACATGTAGCTGTCCAGTTTTCCCAGCACCACTTATTGAAGAGGCTGTCTTTTCTCCATTGTATATTCTCGCCTCCTTTATCAAAGATAAGGTGACCGTATGTGCATGGGTTTATCTCTGGGCTTTCTATCCTGTTCCATTGAGCTATATTTCTGTTTTTGTGCCAGTACCATACTGTCTTGATGACTGTATGTTCCATTGAGCTATATTTCTGTTTTTGTGCCAGTACCATACTGTCTTGATGACTGTAGCTTTGTAGTATAGTCTGGAGTCAGGGAGCCTGATTCCTCCAGCTCCATTTTTCTTTCTCAAGATTGCCTCGGCTATTCGGGGTCTTTTGTGTTTCCATACAAATTGTGATATTTTTTGTTCTAGTTCTGTGAAAAATGCTATTGGTAGTTTGATAGGGATTGCATTGACTCTGTAGATTGCTTTGGGTAGTATAGTCATTTTCACAGTGTTGATTCTTCCAATCCAATAGCATGGTATATCTCTCTATCTGTTTGTATTGTCTTTCATTTCTTTCATCAGTGTCTTATAGTTTTCTGCATACAGGTCTTTTGTCTCCTTAGGTAGGTTTATTCCTAGGTTTACTCCTTAGGTAGGAATAAACCTAGGTTTATTCCTAGTTTTATTCTTTTTGTTGCAGTGGTAAATGGGAGTGTTTCCTTAATTTTGCTTTCAAATTTTTCATCATTAGTATATAGGAATGCAAGATATTTCTGTGCAGGAATTTTGTATCCCGCTACTTTACCAAATTCATTGATTAGCTCTAGTAGTTTTCTGGTAGCATCTTTAGGATTCTTTTTGTATAGTGTCATGTCATCTGCAAACAGTGACAGTTTTACTTCTTCTTTTCTGATTTGGATTCCTTTTATTTCTTCTTCTTCCCTGATTGCTGTGGCTAAAACTTCCAAAACTATGTTGAATAAGAGTGGTGAGAGTGGGCATCCTTATCTTGTTCGTGATTTTAGAGGAAATGGTTTCAGGTTTTCACCATTGAGAATAATGTTGGCTGTGGGTTTGTCATATAATGATAGGATTTTTTAAAGTAATATCATTATCTTGTTTACAGTATCATGATACTGCTTTCCAGACAAACCTGGAATATTTACAGTAACTTTACCATTTATGAAACAGAAATGTTTATTTTTGCCGCAACAGGAAAGTAAAAACAAACTAATATCTATCATTCATGTGGGCATAAAGGAAACGGCTATGAAGGTGTTAACAACAGCATGCAAAAAATTCTCTGTAATGTTTAGTAGAAAAATGCTACATTATATATGTGATGCTCTTTTCACTCTATTAAAAAAGATTTTTAAATATATGTAGAATGATACCTAAAATATTTACAGTGGATGCATTTAATTGGAGGTATTGGTTGCTAATTCATTGCCTCTCTTGCCTGAATTTCTACAATCTATGTTATAACTTTAAAAGAAAAGCTCATTTTTAAATCCAAGCATACCAAATGGTTAGCAATAGTCAGATCAAAATAATAAATTTATGAAACCTAACTTATTAGGATACAACCTTATTATCTTTTAAAAAGTATATATAATGGTGTGTATTTATAGATTTATCCAGTAAGTGTATCTGTTCTACATCCATATTTCTTTGACTTTCAAGGTCTACAGAAATTCTAAGGAAAAGGGTGAATTGGAGTGAGGTTGGGGGAGTACTGTTGAGTTTTTCTGCTTCAGTCTGCCTCTTGCCAGATGGATGACGTTGTTTAGTTAAATTGTCCTTCTTTGCTGTCCCCAAACAAAATACTGGGCAAGCACCATTTTTTTTTTTCATTTTCCTCTCACACATATAATGTGTATGTTACATAATACAATACAACACAGTACTAGTTGACTTTCAATAATAAATCAATGTCAAGAATGAACCAGAGTACTGCTTTTCAATTTTAGACAAACTTTTAAAAAATTCTTAAATCTGACTGTAAACTTATTTAGCTTTATAAGCTAATTCTCCTGATTGATCTAATAAGTTAAATTTCACCCTTCATCAGTAAAGTATATCCCACTTTATATTGAATATATTATTTCAAATAAATGTTGAATATCTGTGTACTTTGCCTGTAATTATAGGTCTGTATGTGTTGATTAAAATTGTCATCATATACAAGTATTATTTATTTGTTATTTGCTGCAGAAAGTAAGATGTATAAATCCGTACATTCATTTTTAATCAATTAACCAAAACAAGCTAAGAAATTATTTGGGTCAATAATAGAGGCATGAACAGACCCCTCATGAATATATCTACCAACCTTTATTGTTAGGTCTTCAGCGTAAACCATATGTACGTGAACATACCAACAAGATAATCTACATAAAATGTTAAAACATTAAACTTTTCCTATTGAAGTCTATATGGGTGCTCTAAAAAGAGAAGTGGTACTTCTCTGTGCCACTTTTAACTTGCTGTGAATTTTCAAGCTCAGTGAGAGTTGGTGCTAAAAGGAAAGTCTAATTGGGGTGAGTAGTGGTAAATGCATCTACAGGCAAACTCCTAAACATAGGGTAATTTTAAAACAAGATATTGTATTTCAAAGGTTCATTTGCTGCTTAGTTTAGCTCAAGGTTTTGCAGAGAAGACAGGCTCTTGGCTAGCAGCACCGTCTTCTTAGTCCTTTTGGTACTGGAGTCCCAGGCCTGGGACCAAGCACCTGAGTGGTCTCAGAAGGCTGATGAATGGCCTCCTCTTCTACGGTGCCGTCCTGTTCTTGCCCCTTCCTCCAACTCTCTTTTTCTTCCCCTTTCCCTTTTGTATCCCTAATCTCTCACACCACCAGGAACAGCAAGGAAAAAAAAAAAAAAAAGAAAGAAAGAAAGAAAGGGAAGGGAAGGAAAGAAAAGGAAAGGGAAGGAAAGAAAAGAAAAAGAAAAACATGCAGCATCCTTAGAATTAGTTGCAAAGGAAAGAGAAACATTTCGGTTAATTTTTACCCTTCTCACATTCTGATTTCTGACTTAGGTGCCCTTCCTGGGATTTGGGTTCCTGAGCACATAGGAGCTGGCTGTGGTCAATGCCCACCAAATAGCCCTCCCAGCACAGTGGGACCTGCCAGCTTGCTAGTAGACCTCACATGGTTTTCTATGCTAGCTATTTTCAAGTCGTTGTTAACTGTTTAAATTGATACCGTGAACCTGCTTATTATTCTTTTCTCTTGACTTCCAATAGCTATTACCCTAATGAAAAACTTAAATTTTCAGGTCCCATTTGAATAAAGCCTCTATAATTTCTTAAATCTATAGCCAATAGTAATCCTTCTCAATTTGGGTTTTATTCCACCCACTTTTACCACACCTGGTGAGAGTACTACCTAAAGACGCTGGAGCATGTATCCAACTGTTACCATAGAAACTCTCCACCAGTACCCTCATTTATCATGTCCAACATCTGTACTTAGTCCACAGGTTAATCATCACAATATATGACAGTTTTACAGTACATTGTTTAGCTCTTATCTTGTTGGCTTCTTTCGATGATTTCCTTATATTGTTTCAGAAGACAAACAACTAAACTAAGTTGTCATTGAACATTTGATTAGTGCCATGAATAATTTTCCGTTTAAAACTTGTCACCATAATTTTGTGTTATGATGAACATGAATTGAAGATGATCGAGTATAACTCAGTTTTAAAGCAAGTCTCCAAGCCTTGGATTTGGTTATGTAATTGATTGAAAGCGTGTTTTCCATTTGACCCAGATGATAACTCCGTGTTACCCTCACAGTTAATAAAGACATGTTATGCCAAGAGAAAACTTTATGAAAATATTCTTTTATAAAAATAAGACACTAGCTATTTTAATGATAATTGTTTTCCTATTTTACTTTAGTTCATGAGAGGATTTTAAAATGAAAGGTTTCCCACACAGGGAGATCAAAACTGTTGCCTTTCTAATTTATTTTTATTCATAAATTCATAGAAACTAATGGTAAAATAGTGCATGGTGAAGTTTATTTTGAATTGTGCTGATCAGATGACATAGAAAGTACATTTCACTTTCATAGAATTTACAGCCCTGAAGAGATTGTAGGTTGTTGTTGCTGTTTTTAATAAAAATTTTAGTAGGTTTGTTTGCCTGTATGTTTTTTCACCGTCAATATACATTCTATGTTTGTGACTTAAATTGCTATCATAAATATTATTTTTATCAGTAATAGTAGTTGCTAGGAAAGTACTTTTCCTTTTATGTGTGTGACTTGGAAAGGTTTCTCACATTAAATAATATATGGTTTTGAGTTATATTTCATAAGGAAGATCATTCATAAAGTACCTTTGTTTTTGAAAATATGATTTAATTATGGGAATGAACTATAGACTCAGTTTTTTTCAGAAACTCGTGTATCTTATTTAAAGACTGTATACCCATTATTTTAAAATAAGAATTTGCTTCTACAAACCTTTATAGTAAAAGGAGAATTATGGATTTTTTTCTCTGAAGTTTATTACATATCCTCTTCTCAACACATAAACCATTAATGGGTGTTATTTTTAACTTCTTGTTATGACCTTCTCTGGTGAAAGAAATAATGAATAAAATTCAGCAGATGTTTTATAAAACTAGTAATTTAATTTCATAAAGGTGATACTAAAAGATATTTTTACTCAAATGAAGAGATGAAGATTCTAAGATAAATTCTTTAAAATACAAAATCTTCTGATTTTATAATATGTATGCCTTGCATTTTTCAATATTCTTCCTCCACATTTGATATTATTTCACATTATCATATACTTAACTTTATATTAAAAGACTATCAGACATAAGAATAAAATACAGGAGAAGTTGGATTATCTTATTTCTCAGTTCAGGAAAAGCAGTTTAGTTTAGTGTTCATGCAACTAACACTAATTACCACATGTAATGTATTTAATCATTCAGATAAAGTAATTACTAAATGCAAAAGAATACATATGCTACTTTCTCCATGGACCATAACTGTATACCTTACATCATTGATGAATGGCCATTCATTGCTTGCTTGCTGCATTCACCACTTGATATCTGTCCCTGATGTGAGATATAAATTAATTTGTGTATCTTTTCTTTTTACATGTGATTCTGAAGACCCTTCAGCTTGAATTATATAGTTCTTCCGTCCACAAATATGGCTGAAAGTTGAACTTGACATGGATCAATATGATCTGGGCTAAATATCTAAATGTGACTGATTATGTTAGCATCATGTCCACAGATCAATATTGAGTTTTATTATGAGCCTGACTCTGTAATTGGGTTTAATCAATAAGCTTTTGTCTCCTTTCTTTTACAGTTTTAGGGTTGGACCATATAGGTTTTTAAAAACTACATTTAGCTTACATTTAGGACTCTGCTTCTTGTGATGACCAGTAATGAGATCTATCCGTGAATTTTAAGGAACAATGGAGCCTCAGCTCTACCACTGTGAGGAGAGCCCACTTTTATCTTGATAAATGATTGCTTGCCCAATATGCGCGACATCTCTAACAGAGCTAATGTAGTAACACCCCAGCACTCCTTTCGGGTGGTATGTGGTGCTCTCTCTCTCTCCTTAGTAAATAACTCACATTGAAGACGTTGACAAAACATACCATTAATGAAAGCAATCATAAAAGCTTGCCTTTTGATAAACCCGCAGGGTCTATAGGCGTTGAAAGATGCAATCTGTAAAGAACAATAAATTTGGGCCTTTGATTGAAGTGCCATTTGGGACGTTGTGCTTTGTCTGCATATTTGCACAAACATGATGCCCCCTTTTTCATGTCTCTTAAACTTGAAGCCTGAGAGCATTCATCGCCATTTCTACATTAAAGTTGGTCCCATTAAAAGCTCCCTACAAAAAAAAGACTGGAAGTGATCCAGCTGAAGCTAGTATGTTCATTTCTGCCCTAGTTTGCCATTTGGAAAGCAGGCTTCTAGCCATCGTTGTCGGTTTTTTTATAAATAGGCCCGGGTTCTGTTCCAGGCAGTTCCTTCAGTAAATGTATACTTCAAATGCATCAAGTTTTCTTAAATTAGGGGCAAAAAAGATTATTTCTGTGATGGATATTTGAAGTAGCTTTGAACGTGAATAGAATTTCTTCATTCCAAATGATTGGCAGATTTTTCCCTGTCATTTTTATTTAGGCTCCAAAAAATGTTGCATTTTATGGTTATATGTTGAATTTGTGGCATCATATCTTATGTAATGGAGAGTAGTCATCTGTTACCATGAGACACACATTTTGTGTTGTTCAAAAACCACATTTGCCTGTTATGAAACCACAAAAATAAATGTATTGTACATGCCGTTCTGAATTTACAGATGCAGACCGTTTTCAGAAACATGGTATGGATGAGTTTATTTCTGCGAATCCCTGCAAGCTTGACCACGCCTTCCTTTTTAGAATACTCCAGAGGGAGACTTTGGATCACAGACTGAACGATTCCTATTCTTGCTTGGTTAGTACAAATCTGTCTGTCTCGTCCCCTATAGGTTAGAGTGAAAGATTTTTAAAAGTGAGAAATACTTGTTATGAAGCGGCCTTTTATTATCCCTGACTCATTTAATAACTATAGTTGGAGTTAGGGATAAAGGATTCCAATCGATTGCTTCCCAATTTGAAAATTATACACTTGAAGACCACTGCTGTGCCACTCAATAGACAGGAGAATGGACTCAAACAGACTCTGAACTGTGGTTTCTCAGTCCCTCCGGAGAAGGTGGAATGAAAATAGAAGGCTTTACTAAAGATAAAAAACCTCTGTGATAGGATTTACTAACACCTGTACAGACATTTTAAGGTTTAAATTCTGCTCACCTAATGGTGATACTGTTCATGTCTCTCTTTTGTTCCTAGAAAGACAATCTAAGTGACAGGGAAAAGAAACAGTGCAATAAATAATACGATGACAGGGACTGTATGTAACAGAGGGAAGCTTTAGTTTCATGTAACCCTCCAAAGATAATTTGAATTTCCTTTAAAAAAAAAAAAAGGCATTAAATCGAGTAGCTAAACTGCTACTTTATGTTTAAACCAGCCAAAATTCGGGATACAAAGTATAATTTACATTTAGAAGGAATGCTTGACTCCTTAGAATGTGGGCATTAAACTATAGCCTAAAAATCGTATGTACCTTTAAATCCAAGGATTTTTGTTCATGGAAGTTCCTCTGGAATTTCTCCAGCTGGAATATCCCTATTTCTATCACCACTTGGTCTGTTGGCTACTGAGCATGGTAGCTGCATGCAGTAAAGTTACACTCTCTTTAAAATAAGATTTTAGACAGAATGTGCTGTCAGCTCATCAGAGATGTTTCAGTAGACAGGAAGAAATTAAACAATTTATTGCCATGATCACACTGGTGGTTCATTAATTCATTTATAGACTCTTTTTTTAAGTACCTATTATTCAACATGTAATTGTGTAGCTTAAACCCGATCCAGCCCAAACTTTACAATTACATGGAGAGTAAAACAAGTCATCACAAAACCCTAATGTATCTTTCTGTGGACGAGCACACATAGACTGATCATCAATAAGAACACTTTCCTCTTGGATTCCACTCTCTGGGGTTAGTTCCTGAACTGTCAAAAGTCGTTTTCATTATGTGGATGACCTCACGTGCCATATGAAGTGTGAGGAGAACACTACAGTGTGTCTTCAACTGCATCTAGAGGGTAGGTGTGATTAGAAAGAGTGAGCGCAAGATGACCCTGGATGTGAATCGTGGCTCAGCAGCGGATTTGCACTGTCGTCTTGAGCAATTCACTGATTACCTCTGAACTTTAGTTTCTGTATCTGTAACATGGAGTCATAGTAACTACTATGCATGATGGTTCTAAATATTAAATATATACATAGTATGTCTGGTACAGTGCCTATACTATCACCACAGTAAGTAGTATTCTGGTTTTCTTTTTTCTCCTCTTCCTTTTTAGTTATTTTTTATTGCAGTCTCATTTTTCTGTATTTCTCACTATTCTTTCTCTTCTCTGGCACAATTATGCTGCCACCTTTGAAAACTCTCCATGCCCCCCTTCTTTCTCTTTTTTTATTTTAAATTAATCCATATAATTGATTCATATAGAGATTGAAGTTTTTTGTAATGTCATTCTTTGTGACTGACAATTTAGATGCTGTGAATAAATTTGACTAATTGTGAGTGACAATGGGGGAGAACCGGTTGCCCATATGCCTCACTGTGGCAATAAAGACAGGAGGGTTTCACGTTGTCAGTGGCCCAGCTCAGCTCCATTATTGATGACATTCGCTCTTTAGAAAACAATAGGAAACATACTACTAATTTTAAAAATATTGTCAAAAGACACTGTAACGCAGCTTCTGCTTATGATGCCTAAGAGTGCCTACAGAAAAGCAAATCCTGGTACAGAAAAAGAAAAAAAAAAAAAATATATATATATATATATATTTCTGTTCTTCCTTTTGCAGGGGTGGTTTAGCCCTGGCCAAGTCTTTGTGCTGGATGAGTACTGTGCCCGTTATGGCGTGAGGGGCTGTTACAGACACCTCTGCTACCTTACAGAACTGATGGAGCATTCAGAAAACGGTGCTGTCATTGACCCAACCCTGCTTCATTACAGCTTTGCGTTCTGCGCCTCTCATGTGCATGGCAACAGGTATTTTTACTTGCAAACACACAGTGAAATGTGGAGGGGTGACTTGGGAAGAGAGAAAAATGCTATTATCACCTAGTTACTTTTAAATAGCAAACGCTTCTTGCAAGAGGAAAAAAAAAACCCCACAAAGGAAAAATGTACATCAATATGCCAGTGATTTAGGTGGGCTGCACTTTATGTTTCTTTTTGCCATTAAAGCCACTTGAAACAGAGAGAGAGAGAATCTATGAGATTAGAAGTCGCCTTTTAGTTCTTATGTACCACCTAGTATTAGGGTCTGCCCAGCTTAAGTGTCATCTGTATTTCTGTTGTAATGCATGTGGATGTCTGGGTAGGGTTTGTTGACAGGTTTGTGTGTACCTAATGATCCTTACTTTTCCGCTGTGGAACAAATGTTCATCGATAAAGCAAGATAAGTACTGGGTTTATGTAGAGTCTCTTCCCAGCCCCTTCCCTAATCCACACTTGAGGGACAAGTATCCCCTTTTAGCACTCTAAGCCAGTGACCTCACCTCTTGTTTTACCAAAAGGGCAAAATATCACCTAATGCAGGCTCCTGCAACGATGCATCTCTGACCTTAAAAATCTCTCCAGCTTGCTCCCTCTCTCCTCCCAATCTTGTTCCAGGGAATCTTCGCTAGGTGGGGCTCCTCCCATAAAGGACATACCCTTTATATGTAACGGGTGTACCTTGCCTCACCCGTTATTCCATCTCCCCCTCTTTGTATTTCCTTTCTTCCCACAAGCCTAAGCTTCATCTAGCCGCACCAACATAACAGAGCGGTAATACTTGCTAACTAGGTGAGGTAGGGCAAGTTTCTGCATCGAGTTCTGTCTCTATTTCTCCATCTGTAAGAAAGATAGCATCTCTCTCAAATCATAAGTTGTGATAGGGATTAAATGCATTTGTGTGTATCAAGCACTTAGAACAGTGCCTGGCTTGTGAGTGGTCCAAAAAATGTGAAGGGATAGTTTACATTGTCTTAAGTACTATTATCCCATCAAGCTACCTCTCCATGGTACTCTTTCTCCTCCCCACCAAACTCCTCTCACCATTTCCCCCATCAGGCCCCCAGCTCCGCACTTGCCGGTGAGGCTGCTTGAAATGGATTGCCTTCTCCAGCTCCACCCTCCTTACTCTCATGGGAGAGTTGACGCTGTGGAATATCCAAGTCCCCGTGCTTCTGTAAATGCTTCTCATTTCCCTGATGCAGCTATCCCAGCGCTCCTCTTTTTATTCTATCATCTTCATTGTTTTTTGGCCGTCTCTTTGCTCATAGTCCGTGTTTCTCCAGACCCCAAGTGTGGCATTTTCTCACGTCTGTTCTTGAACTTGCTGTCTTCTTTCTGAGAATTTTTTTCTACTTGAGTGAAAAATTCTGTGTTGGTGAGATCTTGCCACTTTCCACAGCTTCAAGTATGACCTCTCTTCATACAGATCATTCCCACCCAATTATTCTCCTAAGCCACAGATCTCTGTCTACAACTGGCAGCTTGAATCTTCTGCTGATGCCTCAAGCTCTCCACGTTTAAAACTAAATCCATCATCTCACGAAACCCGCTCCTATACCTCTCTGAGCTCCTAGCAGAGTGCCTGACAAGAAGTAACAGTCAGGCACAAAGTAAGTGTTCAGTAAATACTTGATGAATGAATGAATGACTTTGTTATTTGTATTAATATCACTTCCAGTCATGGCCATTCATCTTCCATTTATCTTTCCCTTTTACCTCCTAGACCCATTTTGTTGCCAATGTCAATATTCTGTCTTTACAGTACTCCTCAGATTTGTCTTTTAGCATTTCCGTTGTGTCTACCCTAATTCTGGCCTTTATTTTTTCTTGCTTATCTACCTTCATTCATCTCTCTACTGCTTTTTCCTCCCCACATTAGTCTAGCAATCACCTTTAAAATTACAGGCTAACTTTTACCATACTCCTTTGCAAAAGCCTTTGGTGATTCTCGTTTCATTAACAAATTAAAAATAAATTACAAGTATCGGGTTTTTCCAATATCATCATGTTCTGTCTACCTCATTTGAACTCCCGGTATTCTTCATTGCATAATCTTTACCCCAGACAACCTGTTTATCCTCCTTGTAAGGTTTCTTTTTTTAAAGTTTTTTGTTTTTTTTTTTTTTTTTTTTTTTTTTTTTTTTTTGCTGTGCCCAGGCCTCTCACTGTTGTGGCCCCTCCCGTTGCGGAGCACAGGCTCCGGATGTGCAGGCTCAGCGGCCATGGCTCACGGTCTTCCCAGACCGGGGCACGAACCCGTGTCCCCTGCATCGGCAGGCAGACTCCCAAGCACTGCGCCACCAGGGAAGCCCCTTTTTTCAAGTTTTTAAACAGTCAGATATCACAAAATTCCTCTAAGAAGACTTCTGTTAACTCAAACAAACACTACAAACCTTTTACCTGTAGTTATAAACTTTATCATGTATATTTGTATGCACACACACACTCGCACACGTGCACGCCTGCTTCTGCTGCACTAGATCATATTTTAAAAGCAAAGACTACTTTTCATTCCCCTATTATCCTCTGTAAACCTTAACACAGTGCCTTGCATATTGTGGGTATAGAATAAGTACTTGCCGAAGTCCCCACTGCTGCCTTTTCTCATCCTACAATAAAATAAGACCGATCCTAATCTCAGAATCTCTTCAGACTTTCACCTCATTATGGAACTCAGCCTTACTTGGAAATTAGGGGAATGTTACAGAGTTTAGTCGCTTTTCCTATTACCCCAAGCTAAACCCTCCACACTCAGCATACTTTGTGGGGGGGGATAGCTGTTGGGTGAGGTGGCAGGGCAAGCAGGGGAGAATAACCAGATGGCTAACCTTTGATAGTCAAAGTGAGGGGCTGTTGTACAATAGTAGAAACTGTCTCTTATCTCTCTGGACACTGTCTTAATTCTTCCTGACCAATGGATATCAAAAGCTCGGCCCCGCCTTGTTAGGCAGCACTCTGAAATGCAAGAGGGTAAGAAGGTTACAGTGGAACAGACAAACCCAGAGAGCCCTGTATGATCAGATTATTTTAGTCATTAACACAGAAAGGTAAAATTAAATTGAGAACATTAAGTGGAAAATTCAGCTTATGTGCCCCCAAAATGTATGTGTTTGAGACACATTTTAATGGAAAGTTACTGAGGCCATTGGGAGCTGCTGCCACCACCTGGGAGGCAGCCTGATTTGAACCTGTGGGTTGCCATAGTTACTTCTATTCTGTAAAGTATTGTTTTCCTTATGATGGTACACTGTAAAATACAATGTAAGGTATGTTTATACGTTCGTGCATATATTATACTTAATATTACACATTAAATTCATTTTCCAGGTTAAAGTATATACCTATGAAGTTATCTCTGGGTGGTGCTTTAGAATAGAAATTTGAGTCAGTCTCTGATTCAGCATTTAGGTCATATGTAACTTAAGAAAAAAAGAAAGGAAGGAGTATAGGTTTTAGGGAAATTTGAACCTCAGTTAGGGTAGAAATATTCCAAGATAACCCAAAAGGCATAATGTTTCCTATAATGTTTAGAATCTAACAGATGTCACTCGGAGATGTCGTGCTGTCTCAATGAAAGAATTAAAAGAGGCAAAAGATCTCTACTTGCATCTTGCCTCTGAAATTTGCACGCTGACCCACGTTGGGCAAATCACTTAACATTTCTGAAATGGGCATTCTTATATGGAAAAGGGGAAATATTAAGGTGAAGGTCCTGGATAATTATAAAATACTCTATCAGTATTGATTAGTCATTATTCTAGTATGTTTCCCTTTGTCAGCCAGCCGCAAGCATGTAAGTTGTAAGAGGAGGAAAAACGTGAAAAATAGGTAGTTGCTCAGTGGAAATATTTCAGTGTGTAAATAATTATATTCTTAATTTCTTTGCTAATAGAATATTCTGGGTTTTAGCAACCTCCCTCTGTGAAAATAAGCTTCTCTCTTCCCTGTCTGTGGCATCTGATATTTATACAGGCTTCCGTTAAAAATACTGTCAATGTCAAGTCTGACTTTTCTACAGTGTTTGCCGTATTCTCTTGTTAAGATCACCTTTCCATCTGTCAAGACACACACTCAAAGAGTCGTTTTGCTCATTACCTGAACCGCCTCTGTCAAAACTTCAAAAGAAAAGAAGACTGCCTTTTGTTATGGATGGACACGAAGGACAGCAGTGCTGTCTGGATCTGAACCGTTTCCAGGAGCCCATCGTGTCACATGGCGCTGAGCGCGCTTAGGCGTGTGCCTTCCCTGCAGACACAGCATCTCTGAATAGCACTCTGAGTGTTTCAGGAGTAAAAGAATAGAGTTAAACAGAAAAGGTCTGGCTGGTACTAAGACCAAGGAAGAAAGAGAAAAGTGAGTCAAGGACAGAAACGGACCCGCTCGTGCAGGATGCTAGCCACGGACGGCCGTGAAGAACACAGCCCAGCACTCAGCGTTAGCGCAGCTCAGGACTGTCAGTGAGGAGAAAAGAGACTTTCAGAGACGATACCTGTAGGGCAAAGTTCCAGGTTGATGTGCATGGTTAGACATCTTGGTTTTGTGAGTCAGGCTGATGGTGGAGAAACTAAAGCAGCAACACAAAATGGCTTTTATGTCACTGTTTAATGTAAGGGATGCAGTGGAGTCGCTGACTCTTGTACGGTCTAGCAGGGCCATCCTAGAGCTGCTACACACCCGGCAAAGACCAGCTCAGCTGTGCGAGCTTTCGAGTACAGGGTACCGGGAGTACAACGTGACTATAATTTATATGGAAAGTAATCCCTACTTGCTGTGGATTCCAGATCATATCACAGAGTAATAGGCAACCTTCATGGGAATCAGTCAAATCATCATATCACAATACCTCCGTCTTCAGAGATCATAACATTTCCTCTTACCTATCACTTCAGAAATCATGCCTCAACTTCCTGCCTCTCATTTTGGAGACAAGGATGCATATTTTGAGTCACATCATAGAAGACTGCATCAAATAGGCTCATCAAGAATTT